CCCCAAAAAAGTTGATGGGATTTGCCATTCAAATAGCGCGCGCCATGGGATGGATTACGCAGGGCGTCGCTTATTCCGCTCCCCCCCAACCCAACAATATTTTGTTGAAGTTGGCACCCCTGGCTCCAGATCAGCACCCCTGGCAGGGACCTCTGCAAACTGACAGAGCAGAATCCTAAAATGGCAGGTTTGGAAGGGGACCCCTGAGGGTGGTCTAGTCTGACCCCCTGCAATGCAGGGATCTGGGCTCAAGCACGGATGGCAGAGGGTCGGCTAAGCTCTGCTTGAAAACCTCCAAGGAAGGAGAGTTTGGTGCAACAGCATCTTAAGTATTAAATCTATTATTATTTTCATTTTTTCATTTATTTATTATTAATGTTGCAATTAATATTGCACTGGAGGCAGTGAGAGATTTTACTTTCTTGGGCTCCATGATCACTGCAGATGGTGACAGCAGCCACAAAATTAAAAGATGCCTGCTTCTTGGGAGAAGGGCAATGACAGGCCTAGACAGCATCTTGAGAAGTAGAGACGTCACCTTGCCAACAAAGGTTTGTATAGTTAAAGCCATGGTTTTCCCAGTAGTGATGTATGGAAGTGAGAGCTGGACCATAAAGAAGGCTGATCGCCGAAGAATGGATGCTTTTGAATTCTGGTGCTGGAGGAGACTCTTGAGAGTCCCATGGACTGCAAGAAGATCAAACGCATCCATTCTTAAGGAAATCAGCCCTTGAGTGCTCACTGGAAGGACAGATCCTGAAGCTGAGGCTCCAAGTACTTTGGCCACCTCATGAGAAGAGAAGACTCCCTGGAGAAGACACTGATGCTGGGAAAGATGGAGGGCACAAGGAGAAGGGGAGACAGAGGACGAGATGGTTGGGACAGTGTTTTCTAGGTTACCAGCATGAGTTTGACCCAACTGCGGGAGGCAGTGGAGGACAGAGGTGCCTGGCGTGCTCTGGTCCATGGGGTCACGAAGAGTCGGACACCACTAAACGACTAAACAACAACAACAACAACAACAACAAATGTTGCAATACATATATGAAATCTTTACATAATGATACATATATGTTATATTCTTATATATTAAATTGATATACAGTACCGCCCTTTGTCCAAAGATCTCTGGAAGGTTTGAAAGACAGAAATTCAGGATAAAAGCACAAAATAAACAAGGAAGGAAAATTGAAACAATAACATACATTTCAAAGGCTGTAGAATAGTCAAAATTTTGGTTTGGAAACACCTCCCCCCAAAGGAAAAATACCGTATGTTGGGTATTAACTTTTGTATAGTTCTCCATAAAACCTAGTGAAATTTATTCAGAATAAAAAAATAATAGAATATTAACCAGCCCAAGGTGCAGTTCTGGTTGCCCCATCTTCAGGATATTGTAGAGCTGGAAAAAGTGTTCGGAAAAGAATTGCCCAAATGATCAAGGGAGTGGAGTGACTTCGCTTTGAGGAAGAAATGTGGTGGGTTTTTTTTTGTGGGGGGCTTTTTAGCTTAAGAGAAAAGGCAAGGAAACAGGAGACACAATAGAATTTTGTGGAACTGTGCGTGGCAAGGAGAAAGCAGACAGAGATGTTCTCCCTCTTTCATGAGACTCGAACTTGGGCCCATGCCATGAAGATTCGGGACAGATGAAAGGAAGGACTTGCTTTTAGGCTTTGGAACTCCCTACCACAAGAGGCAGCGAAGAGGATGAGACAAATTCAGGGAGGAAGATGGCTACTAGGCAGGATGGTTCGGCTCTGAATCCCAGCCGCTGGACCCCATAGGAGGGGAGAGGGCTCGTGTTCGAGTCCTGCTGAGTTTGCGGACCAGATCCTGCTTTGAAATGGGATTCCCAGGCATGAGAAGGGTCTGCTAGGTCTCCTCCGCATTGTCCGCTGACCCTTCCTTCCCCGGACAGGGTGGGAAGGCCCAGCAGGGCCGCCTTTGGGTCAGGGGGTGCAGACAGGGCCCCCCAACCCGCTCAGCAGCTAATCCTCTTTCTCCCCTAGAGGAATCAGGGCTGTCTTCCCAGAACACCCCAATAATCCCTTGGGCAAACATTCATTAGTGCAGGCTCACAACTGGGCAGCCACCCATAACCCCCCCAGGATTAGCAGGCATAAGGGGACCCAGGCGTCCGGGATCACAGCTGCCCACAACAAAGGCAAACCCGGACCAAAATATTTTTTAAAGAGTCACGTTAAAAGAGGATCATTGCAGCCGCTGTAGGAAAGGCACTTTGCACATGATAAAGGCACACTAGTCCCTCAGGTTGTAAAGTTGAGCCTGGGTGCTTCGAGATGAAGGGCTGCTTACATTTTGGGGGGTGGGTGGGTGTTGTGGGACCCCAACGGCTCACGTGGTACAGATCGTGCTGGACTGTACCGCTCCAGGCTGGGGGAGGGGTGTGTGTGTGTGTGTGTTTGTGGGTGTGCGATTTCCTGGGGCGCTTCTTACACAAACGCAAGGCGCCAGGAAAAATGAAAGAGAGGGTGGTTGCGTAAGAGAGGGCGATAAATTCAACCGCTCCCCAACCAAGGAATCCTTTAGTGCAGCAGAAACAGCAGAGGCAGCGGTGGTGCAGTGGTTAGAGCGCTGGGCTGGAACCTGGGAGAGACCAGGGTTCGAGAGACCCATAATAATAATAATAATTTATTATTTATACCCCGCCCATCTGGCTGAGTTTCCCCAGCCACTCTGGGCGGCTCCCAATCAGTGTTAAAACAGTACAGCGTTACATATTAAAAACTTTCCTGAACAGGGCTGCCTTAAGATGTCTTCTGAATATCAGGTAATTATTTATCTCTTTGACATCTAATGGGAGGGCGTTCCACAGGGTGGGCGCCACTACCGAGAAGGCCCTCTGTCTGGTTCCCTGTAGCCTCACTTCTCGCAATGAGGGAACCGCCAGAAGGCCCTCGGCGCTGGACCTCAGTGTCCGGGCTGAATGATGGGGGTGGAGACGCTCCTTCAGGTATACAGGACCGAGGCCGTTTAGGGCTTTAAAGGTCAGCACCAACACTTTGAATCGTGCTCGGAAACGTACTGGGAGCCAATGCAGGTCTCTCAGAACCGGTGTTATATGGTCCCGGCGGCCACTCCCAGTCACCAGTCTAGCTGCCGCATTCTGGATTAATTGCAGTTTCCGGGTCACCTTCAAAGGTAGCCCCACGTAGAGCGCGTTGCAGTAGTCCAAGCGTGAGATAACTAGAGCATGCACCACTCTGGCGAGACAGTTCGCGGGTAGGTAGGGTCTTAGCCTGCGTACCAGGTGGAGCTGGTAGACAGCTGCCCTGGACACAGAGTTAACCTGCGCCTCCATGGACAGCTGTGAGTCCAAAATGACTCCCAGGCTACGCACCTGGTCCTTCAGGGGCACAGTTACCTCATTCAAGACCAGGGAATCCCCCACACCAACCCGCTCCCTGTCCCCCAAAAACAGTACTTCTGTCTTGTCAGGATTCAACCTCAGTCTGTTAGCCGCCATCCATCCTCCAACCGCCTCCAGACACTCACACAGGACCTTCACTGGTTCTGATTTAAAGGAGAGGTAGAGCTGGGTGTCATCTGCGTACTGATGAACACCCAGTCCAAACCCCCTGATGATCTCTCCCAGCGGCTTCATATAGATATTAAAAAGCATGGGGGAGAGGACAGAACCCTGAGGCACCCCACAAGTGAGAGCCCAGGGGTCTGAACATTCATCCCCCACCACCACTTTCTGGACACGGCTCAGGAGGAAGGAGCGGAACCACTGTATAACAGTGCCCCCAGCTCCCAGCCCCTCAAGACGGTCCAGAAGGATGTTATGGTCGATGGTGTCAAAGGCCGCTGAGAGATCCAGCAGAACTAGGAAACAGCTCTCACCTTTGTCCCTAGCCCGCCGGAGATCATCAACCAGTGCGACCAAGGCAGTTTCAGTCCCATGGTGAGACCTGAATCCCGATTGGAAGGGATCCAAATGGTCCGTTTCCTCCAGGCGTGCTTGGAGTTGTTCAGCAACCACCCGCTCAATCACCTTGCCCAAGAATGGCAGATTTGAGACTGGGCGATAGTTGGCCAAATTGGCCGGGTCTAAAGATGTTTTTTTAAGAAGCGGTTTAATGACCGCCTCTTTCAGCGGGTCTGGGAAGGCTCCCTCGCAGAGGGAAGCATTCACCACCCCGCAGAGCCCATCGCCCAGCCCTTCCCGGCTAGCTTTTATCAGCCAGGATGGGCAAGGATCAAGGAGACAGGTGGTCGGTTTCACTTTTCCAAGCAGCCTGTCCACATCCTCGGAGGTAACAGACTGGAATTGATCCCATGTAACAGGACCAGACAGAACTCTAGCACTCTCCCGCCCTGGCCCTGCTCCCACGGTGGAGTCTACCTCCTTCTGAATCTGAGCGATTTTATCTGCAAAAAACTTTGCAAAAGCATTGCAGGAGATCTTGGGGTCCCTACCAGGCCCCGGTGGTACAGGTGGTTCCGATAGATTGCGAACCACCTGAAAAAGTCTCCTGCTGCTGTTTTCTGCAGATGCAATGGAGGCGGCGAAGAAGGCCCTCTTCGCCGTCGCCATTGCCACTTGGTAGGCTCGACGTTGAGCTCTAACCCATGTCCGGTCTGATTCAGAATGAGTTTTCCACCACCGGCGCTCTAGCCGTCTCAACGATTGTTTCATCACCCTCAGCTCCGGGGAAAACCACGGGGCTGTCCGGGCTCCATGCAATCGGAGAGGGCGATTCGGAGCCAGACAGTCAATAGCCCTGGTTAACTCCGCATTCCAGCGTGCCACCAGGGAATCAGCTGAAAGGCCATCAACTTGGGATAAAGCATCCCCTACCACTCTCTGGAAGCCAATTGGATCCATTAAGTGGCCATGAAGCTCACTGCAGGGTTGCAGTCCTTGCAGGGTTGGTGTGAGGATAAAATGGGGGGGGGGCAATGGCAACTGAAGAACCAGATATACCACCTCCTTGGATTAGAAGCTGATAAATGCAATAAATGAATAAGAAAACTGAGCAGACTCTTTTTTTTAATAATAATTACCTACTTAGGCGTAAATCAGTTCCTTATTTCCACATTGCAAAGCATTTCAATTCAAACCTACAAATGTTTTCAAATGTTTACAATTTTCTTTCATACAGAATATAAATTTGCTCCAGCCGATTCTGATCTTCCCCGTCAGCTTTGCCATCTCCACATATTCGACCATCTTTATCTGCCCGTCTTCCAATGTAGTTCTAAGGTAAAAAACGTGGTTATAGAAATGCGAGAATCTAGTAAAAGCCGTTTGGAAGTCAGAAAGAGGGGAGGAAGGAAGCCGTTTGAGCAATGCTTTATGTTATAGATCTGTGTAATGAGATGTAATTAAATATGAAAACTTAATAAAAATTATTTTAAAAAGAAAAAATAGAAAAAAGAAAACTGAGCAGACTCAACGTATTTATTATCATAGAATCAGACCATCATATTATGGAAGACGTTTTCGTGGATGTAAAATCATATCTGCTGCAGGAAGAGTCACCCCCAGGGATATTTCCTGGCGTGGGGGGGGGGGACGACAACTTGGCAGAATACATGGGAGAGAGTCAATTGTAAAACGACTCTTACATATCTTGTTCCCATTCACATATATTTGAGGCTATGTAAGCCTGCCGGTGTTTGTTCGGGGTGAAAAAGTGTCTCTTCCCGCAGTCCTCAAGCAACAATTTCTGCATTTCCCTTAAATTTCCCTTAATTTTCCCTATTTCAAGGTGGCTCACAGCATTAAAGTGTTTCACAAAGAGGCATTTGTAGAAGCCGTTGATTTAACTGAGCGATATATATCCCAAAACAAGGCACAGAAATCCTCGGAGTGGAAGTCATGGGTCTCCGTCCAGCGAGATCTCAGCCTCGCACCTTGTGCAAAATACCCTTCCAGGGGGAGGCCCCCCCGCCTCTAAGCCCCCTCCCCAAATCTTGCATTCAAAGATGTTAGCCGGGAGCTTCTCCTAGACAGCGCAGTCTCCGCAGTGAAGGAGGAACCTGCCCCCCAAGTCCTTCCTTCGAAAGGGGGGGGCATCAGGGAGTGTGGTTTCCTTGTGGTTGGGGGCGGGTTTCTCCAGAGGCAGGAAAAGGCATCAGATGAAAAGACCCCCTGGAGGAAGAGAAAGAAAAGGGGTCAGCGGCAGACCTTGTGGAGATGGTTGGAAGCTGCCCAGGGTAACCCATTCAGATAGGCAGGGTATCGAAAAATAAAATCAAATAAGAATAAGAATAATTCACTTAATTTTGTTCCATAAACTTTACACGCATTCCCAGAGGCGATAAAGCAATCAAACTTTCTGTAAAAACGTTTGGATGATGAAAACCATGCGCTAAAGAGTAACCCATTCAGATAGGCAGGGTATCGAAAAATAAAATAACAATAATAATAATAATTCACTTAATTTTGTTCCATAACCTTTATACACATTCCCAGAGCGGATAAAGCCATCAAACTTTAAGTAAAAACATTTGGATGATGAAAACCATGAACTAAAGAGTAACCCAGTCTGATAGGCAGGGTATTAAAAAATAAAATAACAATAACAATAATAATTCACTTAATTTTGTTCCATAACATTTATACGCATTCCCAGAGGGGATAAAGCCATCAAACTCTCTGCAAAAACCTTTGGATGATAAAAACTATGAGCTACAAAGGGAGATCCAAACATGCACCGGCTATTCTACGTGTCTGACAGGAGAATTTATCTATTTCGTAAAATTTATACAGGGTGGAAAACAGCTATGAAAACTCTTTAAAGAACAAACATTCTGTGTTTTTTCCTTTGGGTGGGTAGAGTTGTCTAAAATGGAAACGTTTTCCGCGGGCGCTGGAAGGAGTGCAGCGAAGGCGCCCGGCCGATTTCAAGTGGCAGGGAGTTCCGAAGCCCACGTGAGAACATCCGAGTTGTCACAAATATGGGAGACCTTTTGGGGTCCCTTCTCACTGCTCCCCACCACCAGCGCCGGCATCCAAGGAGAGCCCCCCACCCCAAAGGGCCCCCAAATCAGCCCCCCATCACCCCACTTACCGGTCACTTCCAGGCTGGCGCCGGTGATGTAGCGGCTGTCGTCAGAGGCCAGGAAAGCACAAACCTCGGCAACATCTGGCAGGAGACGGAGGAGACCGTGAAGCCCCCTCCTCCCAACGCCTGCAGCCCCCCAGGCACCGCCAGCCCCCTCCCAGGAAAAGAAACCTGCCCCTTTCTCTTCCGCAGCCTCAGAGAGATTTAGGCCAGCGAAGCCAGTCTTGTCGGCACAGGCCGGCAGGAACAGCGGGTCTCTCCCCAGCTGCCGGTGGGGATGGATCCAGGGACCTTCTCCTAGCGTTATTATTATTATTATTTCCTGTACAATCTATACCGCATTGTAGAGCTGGAAAGGGGCCCCCTGAGGTCATCCAGCCCAACCCCCTGCAAGGCAGTAATTGTGGCAAAGCTGCTTTCCAACCCCAAACTCCCTTAGGCTATATTATTTATATAGAAATATTGGGAATTGTGGGTAGGAAATATCTAAATAAATGGTTCTTATTAGCCTGAGTAGCACCGAGTTAGAAACTAAAGAGGTATGCAAATAGGTAAATTTGACGGTCATTACAGCCAGACAGGTTATAGCGAGTAATTGGAAAAATACAGAAGAGCTAGGGGAAAAACTGGAAAATATTAAAATTTTACAATATCTGACTGTGAAGATACATAAAATGAAAGGTTTTAAGGTCAGTGAGAAGGATCATGATTGGTTTGAGAAGGTATTGAATTATTTGGGTAGGTCTGAACAATTTGGGGCAATTAAAATGTTAAAAGTTAAATAAACGTTGTGGAGGGAAGAGCGTTAAGGTATATAGAAGTGTACATATGGTTGATTTGAATATGTTATTATTGATTATGAGAGCAACAACAACAGATGTATTTTAGAAGACAACTGAAGGCAGCCCTGTTTAGGGAAGCTTTTAATGTTTGATGTATTACAGTATTTTAATATTTATACCCCGCTCATCTGGAAGCCCAGTCAGATGGGCGGGGTATAAATAATAAATTATTATTATTATTATTATTATTATTATTATTATTATTATTATCCAATGTATCAGCTGCCTGGGGGGTTTCACTGTTTGTGTTTTGGTTGTTGGTAAAAATAATAATTAAAAATTAAAGAAAAAAATTATTATTATTATTCCCCACATTAGGGGGCAGGGCCATAGCTCAGGGGAAAAAATATATTATTATTAATTAAATTTGCATCCTGTACTGCCCTTCATCCTGTACTGCCCTTCATGTGGTTCACAACATAAAAACACAGTAAGAAATCCCTGACAGGCAGCAGCTGAGAGGCATCGCTAAAACCCGCCCCCCGATATTTTTCGCATTTTATGTTGGGGTCCCTTCCAACACCACGACTCCTCCGTTCTATGACGTCTGGGCACTCCCCGCCCGGCAGGAGGAGGAAAGGCACTCTGCAGGCGCTCAGAGGCCCCCTGCCCACCCTTCAAAGGAAGCACAAAGATATTGCTGGACTGCGTCACCTGACCTTCGGGCTCCCCGAGGCGTCCCAGCGGCACCATGGCGGCAAACTGGGGAGAAGAAGGGACAGGGGTCAGGGAGGGATCGGGGCGGGTGCCGGCCAGGGTGGGGGCCTGACCTCAGCCCCCCCCCAAAACACCCACCTTGTCCAGCACTTTCTGGGGGACCTTGTCCGTCATGGGGGAGCGGACGAACCCTGGCAGAACCGTGTTGCAGCGGATCCCGTACCTGCAGAGCGGCAAGGAGAGGAAGCGTCGCCTAGTGGTTAGACCCGGGACAGGGCAGGGTTCAAAGCTGCAACGCTCGCTGGCTGTGGACTATTCGGCGCAGAGGACCTCACAGGGTCGTTGTGGGGGTGGAACGAGGGCAGGCGAATGGGGGGCTCCTTCCCACCCACCCCACCCCCTGATCTCTCCCTCTGCCCCCCAGCCCGGCTTACCTGGCCAGCTCCTTGGCTGCCGTCTTGGAGAGGGCCTCTACCCCAGCCTTGGAGGCTGAATAGTTCACCTGCCCCAGATTCCCCACCTGGGCAGGAAGAAGAGAAGAAGGGCGGAGGCACAGGGACTGAATTATCAATCCATCCATCCATCCATCCATCAATCAATCTTTATTACGGTCCAGAGACCCAACAAAATGTTACAAAGCAATGCACAATTCAGACAGCCTGCCTCCAGGTTAAACAAGAATTTTGTTCAGACTTGTTCAGATAGGGATCGTTAGTTCTTGCAACCACCCATAAAAACTTGGCCACTGCTAATGTTCTGGCGCTTGTCCGGTCTTCCAATAGGAACCTGACATAGTGAGCCTCTGATTTTCCCAGGAAAGGTACCAACAAGGGGAATATCAGTTCAGCCCTGGCTTGCTCACATTTTGCACAGTGCAGAAAAATATGTTTTATAGAATATGTTTTTATGTTTTATAGAAGGTTTTATGTTTTATAGAATACATTTTAATATAGAATATGTTTTTATAGAATCAATGTCTTGGGCACACGGGCAAAGTCTGTCCTGGTAGGGAACTCCTCTCAACCTGCCATCCAGCACTGCTGAAGGAAAGACGTTTAGTCTGGCTTTGGTGAAAAGCCTTCAATAATTTGGTACTGTCAGGTTTTTAATGTAAGATGTTAACTTAAAGACATGCCCATATTTTACTCCTACTGCCAGTGGACTACAGACTGTGTGTGATCGAGATCGCAAGTCACTGTGTGAATTATCCCATAATCTTTGCTTTAACGTCTTTAGGGTGCCTTCATAACCCAGGTAATAAAGTTGGGGGGGGGGTGACAGACCAATAGAGGTCGCTTTTCTAGCCATGGTTTTCTGCCATTTGCTGACAAACTCCTCATTGGTCAGGTGTTGGTACAAACCCTTCCCTAGACCAAAGACCGAAATCCTGAGCCAGTGTTTTAGGGCAGCCCACCACGCTCTAGCTGAAATTGGGCATTCACCAGCTTCTAACAGAAGTATGGAGTTGGGGACGCAGTTGGGTACCTTCAGCAGAGATCGTAGAAATTTGGCCTGAAAGCCACCTAACTTAGGCAGGTCCTCATTAGGCCAGACATTTGCAGAGTTCAGGAGTTGGGAAACGGATTTTGCATTGAATTATTGGTGGTGGGCGGCAGAGGGCAAGGAGGTCATTAGGAGGGGGGGTCACTGCACCTTGCCCACGATGCTCCCCAGGTTGATGATGGAGCCCCCCGAAGCCCCACTTGCCACCAGCGCCTTCGCCACGGCCTGCGTCACCAGGAAGGTCCCCTGTGGAGAAGGAAGAGACTGAGCAGGATGGGGTTGGGATGGATGACCACTGGGTTCCTTTATGAGCCTATAAGCAAGGCGATGGAGGGCCTGGAAACCAAGGGAGGGGGCCTCCCGGGGACGCCTCCCTTGCCGGCGGCTGAGTACCTTGAGGTTGACCCTGAGGACGGCGTCAAAGGCCTCCTCCGTCTGCTTCAGCAGGAACTCGTCCATGGTGATGCCGGCGCAGTTGACGCAGACGTTGGCTGGGCGGGAGAAGCGGGCCTGGAGGCCAGAGGGAGGAAATCAGCACCGAAACCTCCACCGTGACCCCAGGAGGTAAAAAGGATTCGGGCCTCAACATCGCAATGGAGGGGGTTGGGATGGATGACCACCCGGGGTCCCTCCTGACCCTACAATTCCATGATAAACTCCCTGAAGGACCTTAGGCTGGCCTACCTAGAAGGGGTCTCATGAGGATGGAACAGGAGCGGAGGAGAAGGAAGGCGGGATATGAAGGCAGCCAATAAACGCAGGGTGCCGAGGACGAATGCTGACTCAGGGCAAGGCTTGGCAGAGCAGGGACCCCCAGGGCTCATCTAGTCCAACCCCCCGCGGATGCCCACCTGGATCTGGGCCACGAGGTCGGCCACGCTCTTGGCGCACCCCACGTCGACGCGCAGGGCCTGGTGGTCGCCTGCCTGGAGCCCCCGAAGCGTCTGGGCTGCACCAGCCTCATCGCAGTCCGCTATGGCCACCTGGGCCCCTTCGCGGGCAAAGCGGGCGCAGATGGCGCGGCCGATGCCACTGCCGCCCCCTGAGGAAGAAGGAAGAGGAGCCTGGGTCACCCTCCCCAGACGGGCTTCTTCCCCGGCAGCCCCTCTGCCTTCAACTGCTCCACTTCAGGCGGAAATGGAACAGGTGCGGCTTTTCTAAATAAAAAAGTTACATTCAGGGCTTGTCACCGCCAAGTGGCTTGGGCAGAAAGGTCAGGGCTCCTGGGAGGACCCGAGAGGCGGAGATCCAACAGGGAGAGCCACCCCCTTTGCTCTCCATCATCAAGCGTGCTTGTGGGGCTGGGGCCTGGGTTCAAGTCCAGACTTTGGCCTTTGGCAGGTCACTCCTGGCAGGTGGTTGTGGGTAGATGGGGGGGGCGGGTGGAGAGAAAGGTGGGGGGCAGAAAGGCAGCCAAGGCGTGAGCTCGACCTGTTGAACTGATGCCTGAAATACGCTGCCTTTCCCCATTGGCAGGCCCCATCCCCAAATACCCCCCGTCCCGCTTCCCCAGTTGAACTCCTGCCTGCCTCCTCCCCCCCCCCGGGAGAAGGGACCTGTCACCAGGGCCAGGGTCCCTCGCAGCCGCAGGTGGGCGGCCATCGCTCTGTGGGGGAAGGACCGGAAGTGAGGAAGTTCCGCCCCGCGCCGGAAGTTCAGGCCGCGGAGGCCCTTCTGGGCTGCCGTCTCTATGGCCGCCGTCCTCCAGGGAGGAGGGAGCCAGGACTCCTGGGTCCTTGGGGAGGGACAGCGGATGGTGTGTTTTTCCCCCGCTCCATCCATTCGCAGCAGCAGCAGGAGAGGAGGGGATCCAACAGGTGCTGCTCTTGCAGGGCTGCACCTGTTGAATTTCCACCCACACGCTTATTAAGAGACATATTTAATAATATGTTTTGTATGTACCGTAAGAGGCCCACAGTGGCCAGGGAAAGCCAGTCAGACGGGCAGGATATAAATAGTAAAAATTATTATTATTAAGTAGTGGACGAGACAGATATTTCTCACTTCAATATGTAGCAATTATTATTATTATTATTAGTAGTAGTAGTAGAACTAGTTATTTAGTTGCATGCCTACTGGCTAATGTGGGGCACATGCTTCTCCTTGAACCCCAACAACAACCCTGAGAGGTAGGGGAGGATGAGAAGCAGGGACCAGCCCCTGACTGAGGTCACCCACCCAGTGAGCGTCACGGCCACCAAGAAGGGATTTGAATCTGGGTCCCACCCAGGTCTGAGTCCTCACTGAGTCTCCACAACAACCCTGTGAAGGAGGCTAAGCTGAGAGAGGCAGAGAGTTGCCAGGGCAGCTTCACAGCCCAGTATGGGATTCAAACCCTGGTCTCCAAAGTCCTGGTCCGACACTCTAACCACTGCACCCCGCTGCCTCTCAAGTGCTCAAGTTGCAGGAGACTTGGCCAGGAGTGTGCGTGTCCCTTCCTCCACCTTTTAACAGGCATTCAGCATTCGCACCCGCCCCTGTTGAATTTCTGCCTTCTGGGTGGTCAGCTCAAGCCCACCCCAGCGCCAGAGGCTTCCGCTCTCGTCAGACAGTGATGCAATCAGGCTGGGTTTTCTGGACTCCTTCAGATCTAAGCTTTTGGGCAGTTTGAGACACAATAGAGACATCTGCGATATAGACACCTGAGACAGGCCGTTGCTCCATCCACTGCTGCACCACAAGGACTAGCGGCCCGAGATCTCTGCCCAGCCCTGCCATTGGGGATTGAACCTGGGCCCTTCTACACGCCAAGCAGCTGCTCCCCAAGCGCTGTGCCAATGAGAGACGCTTGCAAAGCTAAGCAGGGCCTGGGATGGTTTCAAACGGGATGGGGGACAGAGGGAAAAGGGGGTTGGGCTAGATGACCCTGGGACCCTTCCCACTTGACCGTTCTGACGCCAGAGCCAGGAGGGCCCTGGGGTGTCGGACTTGCAGTTCCTACCTGGAAATGCCGGCAGAAATCAAACCTGTGACCTTGCAAAGCAGATAATGGACTGCCAAATGATGACTGTTCCAGGCTATTGTGTCTTTCTTGGGCATACAAGACACCCCACCTGCTTGTTGGTCATTCAGCCCCCAACTTTTGGGAAAGGGTCATCATGCTCAGTGGTTAGGTGCTTGGCGTCATTCCTTGCTTAAGGTAAAGGGACCCCTGACCATTAGGTCCAGTCGTGGCTGACTCTGGGGTTGCGGCGCTCATCTCGCTTTACTGGCCAAGGGAGCTGGCGTACAGCTTCTGGGTCATGTGGCCAGCAGGACTAAGCCGCTTCTGGCGAACCAGAGCAGCGCACGGAAACGCCGTTTCCCTTCCCGCCGGAGTGGTACCTATTTATCTACTTGCACTTTGACGTGCTTTCGAACTACTAGGTTGGCAGGAGCAGGGACCGAGCAACGGGAGCTCAGCCCGTCGCGGGGATTTGAACTGACAACCTTCTGATTGGCAAGTTCTAGGCTCTGTGGTTTAACCAACAGCGCCACCCGTGTCCCTTGCTTACCTCCCCCCAAAACATTCCTTTACCTCTGTTTACTCCGCTGCCAAGGTGGGATCCTGCTCCCCCCCCCCTAAAAAGGGCATTTTGATTTTCTAAAATAATATCCCAGCTCGACGGCTCCCTGGTCAGGAAGTTCAGGTGCTGGCGAGGAATTACAGGGTGGTAGGAATGGGAGGGACCCGGCAGGTCATCTAGACCAACCCGCTGCAAAGCAGGAAAGCAATCGTGTTCTGTCGGCCTGAGCAAGATTAGCCCAGAGCAGGAGGATGGGAGTTGTAGTTCACAGCGCCTGGGTGTTCCAAGGAGGGCGGCCAAGGCTGGCCCAGTGACCTTGGGGAACCTCCACCTCCACCTGATGACCAAGTCCAGGAACTATACACAAAGCCATTTCCTGTTTTTTTTTCCAGGGCAGAAGTCAGTTTTAATTGCAGGCGCCACTATTCCTGTCCTTTACACATTTCTCCCTGGTACAACCGTCGCCCCAAAGTAAGACCCCTCCACCCTACAAAAGAAATTGCAAAAAAGAGGAGACAAAAAGAAATATATATATATAAATGACGTGTACACGGAAAGTCCGCTCCTAGACCCCCACACCGTTTCCTTGGAGTATAAATCAGGATTTCCCCTCCGGCTTCGGCCGCGAGAACAGACCTCCAGGAGTCGTATTTTACAGTAGCAGAAACGCTTTTCTAAAGATCCCCTTGGAAAATTCTCCTATGGGGCACAGTTTGGTTCCCTTTTGGGGGGCAGGGGGGGTCCCCCCTGTGACGCCCTCAGCTCCCCCCTTCAGAGCTGCGCCGAATTATTCCATTATTGGCTGCCAGCAACTATGCTCCTCCGGCAAAAAAAGCATGATTTCTCCTGACCCCCAACCTCCCCAAATCATGGCTCCCCCATATCCCACACCCTGGTCCTCCAAGTTCCTGGTCCTTGCTTCCGAGCCCCCAACCCCAACAATTCGGGGCCAAGAGGATGGACACGCAAACACACACACACACGAGAACCCTAAAATTCTCTTCCTACCCCCCACCCTGTGCCCTATAGAAAAGGGCATTTTGCTATCTCCAAGCGGAGCAGAAGAGCTGGTCCCAGACTGGTCGTTTTCTCCACTTCCTCTTCCTGCAGCACCAACACAGCACCCCCTGGAGGAAGGGAGGTGCGCTGCAGCGGCTGAAATGTCTGGACCCCAGATGGAGCTGGAGAGGGAGTGGGGGGCCGGGCTGTCCGTTTCTCCTTGGTCCCGCCTCCGCTGCCCCAAAAGGGCGCCTGGCCCCCTCCCCGTCCTCCCCCCTCCGCTCTACTCGTACTGGGCGATGAAGACCATCATGGCGACTCCAGCGACCAGTCCCAGCACCTCCAGCAGCGACTGCACCGGCCCCGAGTCCTGCAGCAGCTCAGGGATGACCGAGACGGTGGCCACGTAGATGAAGCCGCCAGCCGTGAAGGGCAGGATCCAGGCCGTGGCTGCCTCGCCCACGCCTTCCGCCAGCAGCGAGCAGACCGTGCCCGCCAGGGCGCCCAGCGCCGTCACCAGCTGAAGCTTCATCGCCTGGCGGAGGGGAGAAAAGGAGGACAGTCTCACTCACGGCGGCCGGAAATGCCAGATGGGAAACCCCCCAAGGCTCTTCTTGCCCAGGGTCTTGTGCTCAGAGGTAGACTGCCCCTCTCTAAGGAGGCTCAACCTCTCTACCTCTCTTTCAAATAAGAACCAGTGAAGGTGGTGAAAGTCCTGTGTGAGTGTCTGGAGGCAGTTGGAGGATGGATGGCGGCTAACAGATTGAGGTTGAATCCTGACAAGACAGAAGGACTGTTTTTGGGGGGACAGGGGGTGGGCGGGTGTGGGGAGCTCTCTGGTCCTGAATGGGGTATCTGTGCCCCTGAAGGGCCAGGTGCACAGCCTGGGAGTCATTCTGGACTCACAGCTGTCCATAGAGGCGCAGGTCAATTCTGTGTCCAAGGCAGCTGTCTCCCAGATCCATCTGGTACGCAGGATGAGACCCTATCTACCCACAGACTGTCTGGCCAGAGTGGTGCATGCTCTGGTTATCTCCCGCTTGGACTACTGCAATGCACTCTACATGGGGCTACCTTTGAAGGTGACCCGGAAACTACAACTAATCCAGAATGCGGCAGCCAGACTGGTGACTGGGAGTGATCATTTTGGTCTCACAGCTGTCCATGGAGGAGCAGGTCAATTCTGGGTCCAAGGCAGCTGTCTACCAGCTCCATAGGGTCTCAGCCTGCATACCAGCTTCATCTGGTATGCAGGCTGAGACCCTATCTGCCCAGCGCTGAGGGCCTTCTGGCGGTTCCCTCACTGCGAGAAGCCAAGTTACAGGGAACCATACAGAGGGCCTTCTCGGTGGTGGCGCCTACCCTGTGGAACGCCCTGCCACCAGATGTCAAAGAGAACAACAAATACCAGACTTTTGGAGGACATATGAAGGCAGCCCTGTTCAGGGAAGCTTTTAATGTTTGATGGGTTATTGTATTTTAATATTTTATTGGAAGCAGCCCAGAGTGGCTGGGGAAGCCCAGGCAGATGGATGGGGTATAAATGAATAATAATAATATACGTATTTCGACCCGTCCCCGCCAGGGAGATCCGTTACCTTCTTCTTGCTGCAGCCGGACTGGACAAGGATTGCGAAGTCGCCCACCTCGTGGGGTACCTCGTGGAGCAGGACCGTCAGGGTGGTGACGGCCCCGACTGTGCCCCCAGCCAGGAAGGACGCCCCCAGCGCCAGCCCATCCGTGAAGTTGTGGGCAAAGTCGGCGGCCAGGTTCAGGTATCCAGACACACGCATGGCTGGGGGGGGGGGGCAAGAAGAGGAGAGAGAAGAGAAAGTGAGGGGGGGGCTGTATCCCTGGACCCCATTTTAGAAAAGCCCAATCGCTCCCCCCAAAAAAATCCAGGGCTTGCCCAAATGCACCACCTCACCAGAGTCGGGGGGCTTCTGCTTCCCCTGGGAGGGGGCTGTGGTTTTCTCCGATGTCTTTCCCCGCAAAGGCTCTTTTTCTGCCTCGTCGTCGCTGCTCTTGGCTTTGGGAACTGGGGAGGAGGAAAGGAAAGTTTTAGGGGGGGCAGTAAGACACCCCCTGCCCCCCCAACAGATAAAGCCACGGCAACAAGTTTATCCCCCCCACCTCAATTAATCTTTATTAATTT